TCGCAGGACCACCCAAGCCATGAAAAAAAGTGTGACTTATAGTCTGAAAAATACGGTAAGTTCTCAATCAGAATCAGAAAATACTTCCAGCTTGTGATGTCATGGTAATACAGGAAGTGCTCCACTGTGTTTTTAAACTGCTACACTTTCACTGGAATCATTTGGATGATTTCAACGATCCAACTTCCTATGTCTACTAAATTAAAAGGTAAAAAGGTGGCTATTCACTTGAAACCTGCCTACACTATTACATGAGATCATGAGATAGAACAGAGCATTTTGAGCTTTGGAGATGTAGACAGACTAATAAAAAAGGATTACTCAAATGTGTGAATGAAACAAAACACAACCCCAGGTCTGTTTTTGATGAGGTAACAACATTTTAACATGGCTTACAGCTCACAAGAATCCAATTTTGCGTAATATAGGAGCTTTAAAGATGTTTACAGTCTTAAAAGTATGAAAAACAGAACAAAATTTCTGCATTCTGAAAATCCTAATTAATCACAGGATTTAATGTGTTCAATGTTCTTTTCACTGCCCTCAAAGACCAGTGTCGACTTTTGCCGTGACAGTAAAGCAAAACAACAACTAGCATGTTAACATTGGATTAACAGATTGAATGGATCTGTTAATTGGATTATAAAATGCTCTCTAATTAGATGCAGACGGGGTACAGTGAACTTGTATTGACCTCAAAAGCTGATTATTGTAGCAGGATTTTGCGCAGATACATGGGAAAAAAAATTTAGTCCAGTTTTTATTTGTATTTAGGGTTTGAAAATAATCCCTATGTAAAGCAAACGTGTTATTTATGTTGTATTTTTTATTTAATTTTTTTATCTTATTTATTTTTGGCATAGACCTTATTCTACTCCCCTTACTTGTATTTGGTGTTAACATGTGGCAGCATGAGAATGGAAAAAAAAAAAAAAAAGCAAAACATTAAGCAATGTGACGGGGATGCATACAGTTGTAATGATTTAAAAGGCAAAAATGCTAAAATTAAACCTGACAATAATTTCTGGTCTTCAAAACTGTGCGGATTTCTACCTGTTGCGTAACAATCCAGGGAAAATTGAAAGGCAGTGATTTGAGACTCACTTCGAAAACTAGGGTTGTCCCGATCGAATCACGTGACTGTGGACTCGATCCGGACTCGGACGTTATGTGCCGATCAGGTGTTGGAAAAATAATATACGTATATAACCAGGGATGTCCCGATCACATTTTTTTGCCCTCGAATCTGAGTCCCTTTGATTTTTAGTATCTGCCATTACCAAGTCCCGATCCGATACTTCTATAAAACATTATGAAATGAACTAAGAGCAAAGAATAGGCGAGTTTCAGCTGACGTCATTGTTATTAAAAGCCCGTGTTGCATGCTGGGAAATTTTTTGGTCGGAGGCAAAAAACACGATAGCGGTCAAACACAGTGCGTAACCTCACGTATTTATCCCCGATAATGGTAAATTCCCGCTGTATTATCGGATGCACAAATAGAAGCACGGAAGAAGGAAAATGTATTTTTCGTATTCTGAGTGAAAAGAACCTCTAACGACGAATTAAACGGCTTTCAAACATTTGCAGAGCAAACGTAGAAGATCCTAGCAAACCATGGACTCCAACAAGTTCAACAACGCATCGAGACTCTTGGAGGCTTTCATCTTTTCTGCTGTGAATGGCCCAGGAGTTTCCACCAAGTCATTGTGGATATCACCAAAGTGAATGTTTGTCCAGGTAGTTGGCGATTCCGACCAGAAATTTGGTTTGGTCCAGGCTTTGTAGGGGTTGAAAAGGGTGATTTGGTGTCCGTTGATGCTTATGACCAATTTCTGGTCAAATCGTCTTGGGTCCTCTGCCGTTAGAGTGGATAAATAACCGGGATCATTTACGTCCTTTCTCGCTCCGTCCGTCATGTTGAATTAGTGTTTCTTGCCGCCGACCAAAATAATTCCCAGCATGCAACGCGCGCTTTTGTCAACAATGAAACTCGCCTATAAGATCCAGGATGTATGGGGGATCAGATTGTATTTATTTAACCAAATGTCCAAAACTTTAATTTATTTATTAACTTTTCTAAGCCATTCACCATCATTGTTGCTCCCCAGTGGGTTTGTGCATGTGGGGGCGGTGCGGGGGACACAGGCTGTGGGGGGCTTCTGTCATCTCGTTTTTGTTTGGTAAGATTTTGTATTATTTGGATTTCATAGACGAGCCTAAATGTTTCAAATATAATGCACATGCCTCCATATAATATCAAATATACAAACTGTAGATTGTGGAGAGTCTAGTCTCAGGGTCTGATCTGATTCTGGTCTGGTTCCTGTTTTATCCAGTTCATTCAGTTTACCAAGTTACACATTCCAAGACCAAACTGTGGTAAAAGTAAAGATTTTGAACAATGATGGTGAAAAGTTAGAAAAGTTAATAAAAAAATTTTAGTTTTGGACATTTGATTTTTCACAAGTTCAGTCCAAATACTACACATGAAATCAGTACAATCTGATCCCGCACACATCCTGGATCTTATTCTTTGCTCTTAGTTCATTTTATAATGTTTTATAGAAGTATCGGATTGGGACACGGTATCGACAGATACTCAAAATCAAAGGACTCAGACTCGTGGGCAAAAAAATGTGATCAGGACATTTCTATCGAAAACAGGATCAATGCAAGAAGCGTGCACCGCAAAAAGCAACATCTAGGCAAGTTAAAATGACTTAAATTAGGGGTGGGCGATATATCGATATTTTAAATATATCGAGATAGTTTTTAAACTCGATATGAATTCTGACATATCGTATATATCGATATAATGCTTATATTCAATTCTGATTTCGCCGCTTCGCTTGTTTATCTTCTCTCTCGTCGCCTCCGCCTCCCTGATTTTGTTCGCTCGTGTCTCCTTCACTCGTCACTATCACCCTGAACGCCGAAAGTTGGTGCCAGTGAAAAGCTTCAAGCACCACGAACCTTTTCCACCATTTACAGACAAAACCATCAGCAGCACATCCTCATGTTCCACCGAGTCGCGTCCTTTAGCCCGAAAGAAGCTAAACGAGCTGAGCTGCGTGAGAAGTGCGCTGTTTATGCAAATGAGCCATGCGCTTAAGTTTCGTTTCTGTAAAATGTAAACACACGTGCGCAAAACACATTATTAACGGGCTGATGTGGCTCTAGAGTCGTTATGTTTTATATATTGTAAAGTTTAGCAATGTAAAGTTTATTCATGCAGAATATTTTTAATGAATAATCTGCTGAAGTGTCACTTGTACAATTGTGTTTGGAAACGTTGGGTTTGATCTGCAGTGGATTGTGGGATTAAACCTCAGAGCTCCTTACTGCTGGATAATAACATGGATCTGTTGAAATAAGGAACATCCTGAGCTTCTTCTGCTAAATGAGCTCATGGTTATGGTTCTGGTTTGGATAACAGAGTTAATGCAAAGATGAGCTTGTGTTGAGTTGGTTTATTTATGAATGAAAAGAAGGAAATATGTATTATTTCTTTTATTTTACAGTTAAATTATTATTTATGTAATTAGGGTTTTTTGTAATCTTAAATGTTCCTATATGAACTGTCGACCTCTTACACTTCAGTTTAAAAAAAAAGGACCTTGTGGAATTTGGCAGATTTGTTTTTGCAGTTTTCAGTTTTAGGGGGTTATTTTTTCTTGAACATATATCGAGATATATATCGTATATCGAGATATAGCAAAATATATCGAGATATATTTTTTGATCCATATCGCCCAGCCCTAACTTAAATTAAGAACATTTGACTTTATTTGAGTAGATTCAACTTGAAATACTGAAGTAAAATGATCTACCAATGGGATATGTGTTTGTTTTTCTGAATTAAAGTAACATTAGATTTTGTTTCTTATTTTAATTGCAAAGAGTTGTTGTTTTTCTTATCTTAAGTGTAGCAAAATGTATTTTCATATTTTACGTACAAAAAGTCTTGTTCCATTTGTAGATAATATTAATTGTCAAGTGAAATTTACTCAAATCATGATAAAAACTTTCTTAATTCAAGTCATCTTAACTCGAGTAGATTTTATTTTTTGCAGTGTGGATAGAAATTCAGGTAAAGGTCTGAAAAATCTGATAATAGTTTTGCCATCCATCAGAAATGTACCTGCGAGTGTCTTGGTTCAGATTAAGGCATCACTCAAAAGGTGAACGGAGTGTAAAATTAAACACAGAAATGCAGAAATGTCACTTTATCACTACATTATGACGGTGGCTCAGTGGTTAGAGCAGTGGTCCCCCAAAACAAAAGGTCACAGGACTGATTCACTTGGACCGAGTTCTGCTGTCGTGCTCTTAGGCAAGACATTTCACCAACCTTGCTTAGCGAATGCGGGTGTGGTCGAGGGGCTAATGGGCAACTGTGGCTAGAATAATGTCTTACCACCACAAGTTTGGGTTAAATCAATGATGCCTGGTCACGTTATTCCTGAAGTTTCTGTGGACACCGCCATCATTATTCAGGTTGTATCATTTTGTATGGGGCTGCCGATCTTTACAGCAAAGAAGTTCAATATGGACTATAAAGCCGTTTTAAAGCCTCCAGAGAATCGGTGCAGCGTGACTTGCTGGTGCACATAAAAATTTAACATTTTACACAAATGAACCGACTTTATGTCATATTTAAGATGCAAAACCTTTCCCAAATTCTCCATTGACATAAATGGGATCCCCGTTTAACCAGGGTGTCACCACAAAAAAGCGCGGTCTAGTAGTTTTAAGAGACAAAAGTGGGCAGGGCGGAATAAGGTGGCGAGTGTAGCACATTTGAGAGACTTTGACAAGCCTGTAAACACATTAAAAGTAAGGCTTTATTGTTATTATATAGATTACAGTATAGCAATTGTGAAAATAGTGCAAAAAGTGTGTAGACAATATATGGAGCTCAACAGTGACTGCCCACTCCCTGGGTCTGAAAGTAAATTTGATATTCATTTTTCCCATAAACTTTCAAAAAAATAAAAAGCTTGACCATAAGACCTATGAGTTTACTTAAAATCTGTTTCTGCAACTTTATAAATCGCATTAAGTTATGAAAACATTTTTGTAGCATATCTGTGGTGTATGTCATTGATAAAGGGGGATGTTAGGATCAGAAGATAAAGGCACGACTCTCAGGGAGGTGGGAGACCAGTAAAAATAATACAGCAGAGACTAGGTATTCAAGTTTGGGTGGCTGGTGCCATATATTGATGAAAAAAGGTGAAAACAACCAACATATACCCAATGTTTATAATATTTACATCTGCAGATTATGATGATCAAGCTTAAGAATTAGGTAAGTAAGTATTAAGTTAATTCAAGTGCACTTCTTTTAAATATGTTGTTTATGTTGTGCACTTGTTTAGATACAATATGGTACAATTGCCACCATACAACAATACACATGGCAGAAGTAAATATAGAGTCCTGGAGTACAAAACTGCCAAACAAAAAGGGGTAATAGTCACTTTGCAGGTGACATTTCACACTTCACACAATTGCAGTATTTTCCTCAGCAGTGTGGGCTTATTGTCCATTTATATAACCAGAATGTCCATGAGAAAGGTATAGTCCATAAGCACATAAACTGAGTTAGTGTGAGGAGTGAGGAGTGGACTGGCTGAAACAGCCCCTACCAGACAGTAGAAGCAGGTTGTTGTAGAGTGGATGTAGAGAAAGCTCTCTGGGCTTTCAGCTCTCAATTGGGGTGATTGTGCACAACCTGGCCTGTAATGGACAAACAGGACTAATTTTAGCATTAAAAAATACTCTGGTTAAGTAGTGTACACATCATCTCAAGTTTTACACAGTTTACATAAATACAACAATAAATAGTTAAAAATGGATCAATATCCTCTTTGCCTTAAAGTGCATTGCATAAACAACAGTACAGAAACCAAAGGAAAGTTCCAGCATGTAAACAGTCACACTGGCTTTAGCCCAACTAAAGACAAAGGCGACTATGGCCAATAATACTCACATAAAACGCGACATTAGCATAACACTGCACCGCAATCTATAAACAGGTAAATGGGTGCAAGAGCCTATTGATATGTTAATGAAAAACCAACACACACTCACCAATCTCCTTCGGTAATCCGAGCGCGCGGTCGCTACTCGCCACGGCGCATAGTAGCGGTAAACACTCCTACAAGTTATCATAATGCGGCTAAGTTTTAGTACATGCATGTCATTACAAAAAAAGAGAAAATAATAAGATTGGTGCAATACCTGGCTCTGTCTTTGTCCCGTTTGAACGTAGAAGAGCACAGGTGAGTTGTATGGAGCGCTTCTTGGCACGCGATTGGTCCACTCGATCGCGCGAGAGCTGCGCAGCACAAGTGAATGGTGCGTTCACTGAGCGGCAATGATGGGAAAATTTATTACACCGCATTTTAAACCTGGGATGTCACAGAATGTTGCATTTTAAATTAATTTACCATGCTATGGATATTTGTGTGCATGCAGCTGGCCAGCCTCGGAATAACTTTGAACTCTTAAAGATGCACTGTGTAACTTTTTGGTTGGAGGTCTGCCACCTGTTTGTTTCTATGGATATGAGTCACTGCTCTGCCTGGAATATTCCACAGTATGACATTAAACAGCTCTGCATTGCATTTATTCAATTGCAGGTGGTTTTATAGCTCAAAAATACCTCGAAAAACAGGCATTCTGACTGTAAGCGGGGTTGCCTCTCCACAGATCTGACCTGTAACTTGGCTTAGTTTCCATGAAGCTAGAAAGATTTAAAACTGTACTGTGAAACATTCCAGACAAAGCAATCTCCATCATTCAGCTTGATACTCTTGTTATTATTATTTTTTTTTTTATTGAGCATATATTCAAAACAACATATCATAAATTATCTTCTAGACAATATATAACCCACCTCTCCTGCTGTTTTTTCAGCTGGTGTCACCTTTTGTAATGACAGCATTTTGTTTACAACCTCTGCACAGGTCTTCACTTCCGCCCCCTCTGCAGGCAGTCTGAGCTCCACGCGGGGAAAAGTACACAACAGCTCAATTATTCATAACACGTCTGCATCTAATGGGAGCCAGCCACAAGCCCGTACCACGTATTCCTCTTAAAAAACTAGACTCATATTTGTGTAGATCAAAGCCGCAAAACTGAATGCTAATTGATGGCACTGCGCTGTTTCTAATGATCAAAGTCACAGTAACAAGCCTCGCCCCTGTCATTCTCGCCTGTCGTTCGCCCCTGCCATGCTCTGTGGCGGGTGCAAGCTGTGAGCGGGTGATAGTGGCCGAAGGCACGCTCCTCACATATGAGAAGCGGAGTGAACTTTTTAAAATAAGGATTGGGTTTTTTTTTTTTTCATTAACTCAAATGTCACAAGTCAAAAAGCAGCTGAGTCGCCCCCTGCAGGAGACCCCATGGAGAGGCGTCCTGGAGTGCAGAGTAATGGGGTGCAGATTTGGTGTACTTACTTAGACACATGAAGTCATTTCTTTAATAACTTTGTGCACTTATATTTTCATTAGAGTTGCAGAGGCAGCTTGTGTTTTCCACATGATTTTAAAAAATAGGCACAGTATAGACCATTCCTTCAGCTGGATTCTTCTGCAGATGATAAGGATGACTTAATTAAATATGTAACGCAGTGGTTCAACAGCTTTTTGACATAAAGGTTGTATGGAGGATTTTTTTTGTTTCAAATTGTCAATGATAGCATTATAGAGGTGCAGTAGCCTTGTAATTATGATGACCAAAAAAAAGAGAATAAAAATTCATCAACTCTGGACGTGGTGGGGCTAAACATTTGCCAATAGATAACGACACTGCCTCGTTATCTGTTAGCTGACAGGCTGTCAATCAATCTCCCTACGTTTCTAGCGTAACTGACTTGCCTGCGCGCCGCCGGTACGTGATTTACGTACGTCTGTCACGCAGTCCACAGACGCAAGCCGCACAGACGCTGTTTACTCCACCAACGCAACAGTTCTTAGCTGCTTTTTTTGACCTATATCTTCCTCACAGTTCGCACAAAGTTTGTTGCGATGGCAGACAAGAATCCAGGAGCAGTTAGCCGCAAAAGAAAGTCCGTTTTTGAGGTCGCTGAAAGAAGAAGACAAGGGGAAAAGCAGCGAAGCCAAACTAAGGTGATTCTTGTAGATTCATTCCAGCGATGGCGCGACTGAAGCAGACGCAGGGTCTAAAGACTGACGCATTGGTCGCCAAATTACTCCTGGACAGGTCACTTCTGCTTATTATGAAAATGTACTTTATTTCCAAGAGCTAGTTAAATGTTTTTCAGGACACGAAAGCGATATCCTATGTCTGAAAACGTAATTTTCAAGGCAAAGAAAGAGTCCGCTTGCTGCTGCGTGTTGTAGCTAGTTCATTCGCACGGAATCTCCGCGCAACCTTCTCTGCACCCCTTTCCTGCTCCTCTGTCCCCGCTGCCCGTTCCGCTCTTCCCCCTGCTCCTCACTTCTCCGGGCACGGAATCTCCACGCACCGCTCCCCTCTCCTCTCTCCTCTCCTCTCCCTGCTCCCTGCTCCACTCTTCCCCCTGCTCCTCACTTCTCCGGGCACGGAATCTCCGCGCACCGCTCCCCTCTCCTCTCTCTCTCCTCTCCTCTCTCCTCTCCTGCTCCTGCTCCCTGCTCCACTCTTCCCCTGCTCCTCACTTCTCGTCCGCGAACGAAATGTCCGCACACCCGCTCCCCCCGCTCCTCACTTCTCCGTCTTGCCTAACCAACACTGTAGTTACGAGTCATGTGCAGCGCACCGGCTGTAAGCAAACCTGTTTCTGGCGTAAAGAGGAGGCGGGAGGAGGCGTTTCTACGTAGGGAGCTGTAGGGGAGGGGGGGTGGTTTCACGCATGCGCAACATTTGAAAAAGGACAAACAGTCGCTGGATTTCTCGTTCCTTGGAAAATCCTCTATACAACCTTTAAGTGCCCTCTAAACTTTGTCTCACGCTTCAAGTACCACCTTAGCCTGATTCTTCTTCGTAGAAACCATCTGACCTCGTAATGCTAGATGGTCGACGGGTACTTTGTTTATTTAACCAATTGCTGCTATTTGATAGTCACATATGTAATGCGCCGCTAACGGGGCAAACTGGTATGTTAAGCTTTTCCCAAATCCCGTAGGAAGAAGGAGCAATAACATCTTTCCCCTTGATAAAATTCACCAAACATTCTCTTTATTCTGGCTTTAAATCCTCAATCTCAGGAATTGTTGACAACACTGAATATATGTCTCTTCACTGATTGACTGGTGCCCAGACTTGTACTTCTGGGGTTTTGGCGAATCGTATAGTGTATTTTGATTCCTGACCTAGTTGCTGGAGAGAAATGAAATTGAGCGGAGATATTAGGTGGCGCCAGCCTGGCTAGTACGACCTAGCACAGTTATAGATACATCTATCTACTATAGTTGGATATTATCATTTACCATTACCAGACCTAGGGACAAAGTTTGTGCCAGTCCTCAGTCACACAAGGAGTGTGTTGACTAACCCTATAGCAGAGTTTGAAGTCCTGCTCCACCCACATCTGTAATATTTTGTCCCACTTCCGCCTGCAAATCCCTCAAGATGGGGACGCTCACTTTCTTAAGCTCTATCAAACAAGGAGAAGAGAAAAAGAATTGCCTAAAATGTGCACAAGATTAGACCACATCCACAAGTTTAGGCTGCTTAAAATGTTTTTATTAATGCCAAATAAAATATCCAGCACAAATTATGTATGGTAGGCATACATTAATCATTTGTATATTTTACTTTACACTCATATTTTTATATTCATAGTTTGCAGGACTGCAGTTTATCATCCCACCCACCCGCGCCTGCAATGAGCTTTCAAAATGTGTCCCATGCCACACTGTTTTGCATCAGGTGCCCCGTGCAGGGCTCTACCCTATAGAACAGAACCAACAACCTACACATCGTGAAATGCAGGAGCACTTCCATCACATTTTACACATTTTTGGTCATTACCATGTATGTGGGTGAGCAAACAGCAGTGCTTGTAAACGTGCTGGATTGTAGCCATGAGTGTGTAGTCAAAGTGTCTTGCCCAAGGATACAACAACAGCACACACGAGCCAGGTGAAGTTGAAACTGCCAACCTTTGGTGAGTGCAGAAGTGCTCTTAATTCCTGCACCATTGTGGCCTTGATGTTATGTTAGGTATCCATTTGTTACACAAAAAAATAATTGAGACCTTTTGAGACCTTTTTTCCATACAAGATAATATTTTTATGAATTATCAATCCCTATGGCAACGGTGAGTGATGTAATGGAAGTCCAACTTGTAACGGACCTCCAAGTCCAATGGTTCGTTTATCCATCTGAATTGGAGGTCCAAGGACATTGCTTAGTGATACACACTGACATGTCCCTTTTCCTCGGACTGTGCAACTCAGAACATGGAAGAGCTTGGAGGAGTCCAAACAAGATTTCCTTGATAGAATCCAAGATGACTGTGCCCAGTGTCACTTGTAGTATGAACTGTTTTTGTTGTGTTTGTACGCTGTAGTGGTTTAAATGACAATTTCAGTCACTCATATTATTGCGTCTGTATCACTGGCTATGGGTATAGTAGTCGGTGTCACCAATGTCTTTAACCCATTTTCTTGCTCGCTAACGTGCCAAAATGATCGACTATCACACAACACTAACACTTTCACTCCACTAATATATTGAATTATACTATTTATATTGAATTCTTCCTCGAGGTTGTGTAGTTGAAACACATACTTGTTTTGCAGTGCCCTGTCCTCGGTCAAGGCTAAAGCAACAACACCTTTCCCGTTAGTGTCCTTGTTTTTCTCCAAGTTGGACACACGAAACATAATAAATGAAGTGTGGATGTGACATCATATCCGAGATCTGAGTGTGAGACGGATGAATAAACGAACGATTTGCAAAACCAACTTCATGACAATAGTGTTTTGACCACTTAAAATGGTTTACCTCCTGAAACCACTCACGCACAGACTCTCAAGGCAAGTGCTGCCAGTAGAAACAATGACAAGGTGAGACTGAACCGCCTACCTTTGGGTTAGTGGGTGTTTGCCATGTTAACACAGCATCATATGTCTGCCACCTCACACCCACAAGACAGTTTGTGCAAAAATTGAGCACTAACCCTGCACTAAAGGATCATAATTTGCTTTCATTCACACACTCGTAAAGCTAAAGTCTGCGTCAGTGATCCAAGTTACACAAGAACGATTAATATTGCATCCTTTCTCCGGTCGGGTTGGGCGCGAGCATGTGCTTCTTCCCCGTGGGTGGTACTCCAGAACAGCGGTCTTCATTATAACCCTACAGCTCACCCCTCTGTCTCACATCACGCTCTGCTACCACATTCTGTTCA